TCTGAGACTGCACAGCAGGTCTGACAAAATCTCAGCCAGGCCTACGGGGAGCCCAAGGACAAAGACTGCTTGTTGGAGGAATCTTGCATTTGGCAGAAGCATCCATATCTAGTGCCTCTACTCAGTCATGTGCTAGGAGCATCCCAGGGACAATGTGACCTCAAAGGAAACAAATTTATGCTAATTTTCTCATTTGTATGACATTCAAGTTTAACTGGGTGTCCTGTTTTATTTGCTAAATCTGGCAACCCTACCATAATGGCAGAGTTGGAGGTTATAAATGGACACAATGAGCATGGTCATTCACTCACCAAGTCTGATTTGGCTATTGTCCTTGCCAGCAGCAGAGACCAATGCCAAGTCTTTGACATGACACCATTCCTCAAAGAAACCAGTAAGTGATTTGGGGACAAAAAATACATTGAGTTTCTTCAAAACTTGATGGGGCAAGGTTCTCTTGCCAGCAATCAACACAAATTTTGGATATGGCTTTGCCTTTTCTTCCTTGGCAAGCAGTGCTATTCAAGAACTTAGCATGTTTAATTCACCAAGGCAGGATTTTACAGAACATTGGACTGGATCCAGAGATCCATTTTATAGCCAAAGAAGTGAAACATTGAGCACATAAGCTGGGATCCACTGGTTATATCCCACACCCTGCCACTCAGAAGCTGAAGCTTTCATAGAGGGGTGAAACGGTGTGTTGAAGCCACAGCTGAAGTACCAGCTTGGAGATGATACCCTGGGAGAATGGGGCACTAGCCACCAGGAAGTATTATACCCCCTAAAATCAATGTCTGTTAGACCACAGAATATACAGGATTGGAGGCAAGGGCTAGAAGTAGGAATCACTCTGTTTATCACATCTCCTGATGACCCACTTGAATTTGTGCTCACCATCCTCAGAGTTCTGTAGGTTTAATGCTCTTGGCTCCCACATGGTCAAGTACCTTCCCCAGGGGACATCACAGGAGTACCATTAAATTTTAACCCATGACTTTTTCTTGGTCACTCTTGGAACCAGCCAGAAGAAAATGACTCATCATCCTGGCAGGAGTAATTGATCCCAATCAGGAGGAAGATGTAGGGTGACTGCTATATAATGGAGGGGGCACGAACAAGTTGGGCACCCAGCTGATCCACTTAAGGCATCCCTTGGAGATGCCAAACAAATCCACCAGCGGTAGCTTGAGAAAGACACGGTGTCAAGAGACTCAGACCCTTCAAGGGTGGAGGTTTTAGTCACTACATCGGGTAAGCTACGTAAGTCAGCAGAGATCCTAGCTGCAGGTAGGGGAAATCTAAAGTGGGGAGTACATGATGGAGACAATGAGTATCAGTTAAGGCCTCGAGACCAGTTGTAGTGGCAGGAGCTCTCGTTTGTCTCATTGGCCTTAGGAGAAGAACTTCAACACATCCATGGAGGAGTTGCTCCAGAATTTATTCTACAAGATGTAATACCCAGATCTTGCCCCACTCCTGCCCCTGCGGCACAGAAGCTCTCGTTTCTCCAGCTGCTGAGACTGTTGGAGGCTTACAGTACTCAGCTGAGTCCCTCTCTAGACATTGCCTTTTGGTGCAGAGACCCTTCTTGCCCAAGTTCATGTTCCTTCCAAGGTCATGCTCCCATCTAATGACTAGCCAATGCAGGAATATGAAGGCCCAGCCCCCTCGCTAATTCATGACAAATCTGAAGGACTAGTCCAACTCTGAGATGTTCAGGTATTCGGCTGAGGTCCTTGTTGTGACCACATTGCTGCCAGTTTCTCCTTTACCCAACTCTGCTCCCTTCACTGCCCTCAAAGGCATTCGATGCTAAGGGCATGCTCCACTCAACTTGCTGCCTCTGGCTAATCCCTGCTCAGGGAACTCTGGTGGTGTAATGGTTAAGGCGTTTGGCTGCTAACCAAAAGGCCAGTGGTTCAAACTCACCAGCAGCTGTACAGAAGACGAGGCAGTCTGCTTCCGTAAAGATTTACAGCCTTGGAAACCCAATAGGGATCACTATGAGTTGGACTTGACTCGATGGTGGGGAGTTTGGTTTGTTTTTTAATCTCTCTCAGAGAGAACTTCCTACAGAAAGTGATCTGTGTTAATGTTGTGCTATAATGTATTTATTTATTTTCCCTTTTGTTTTCATCATCATGTCTTAGTATGGGAAGACTTTGCATTCTTTTCCTTTATAGTTTCTGGTGTTTTACATCATTATGCTTAGATGGGCGTTTCCCATTCTGAGAATATAAACATATTAACCCTGTTTTCTTTTAGTACCTTTCTTTCAAGAAAAGCTTCAAAATATTTGATTCAGCTGTAATTTTGATGTAAAGAAAGAGGTGGGGATCTAGATTTACTTGTTGTTTCTCAAAGGTTAACTGGTTCTTTCTATACAATTTCATTTTTACATTCCTCATTCCTCAAAACTTTTCTAAGGTTTAATGTGTTTTTTTGTCCTTTCTGCAAATTCGAGATTTCAATGCCTCTCAATAGCGATTTCAACTTTTCTCCATTGTGTTTATTAACTTCAAGGCTTAATTTTTTCCTTAAGTACCGTGTTGGTTGCATCCCATGAGTTTTTTAATATGGTGTCTTATTCATCAATTTTTTTTGTTTTTTATTTTATTTTTTTTAGGTACTAAGTGCCCAGTTATGATTTCTATTTCCTCATTTTAAAGAAAAGTTTGTGCGAGCTTTTTAAAAATTTATAAATGGTAGGACTTGTTATTTCTTCTTACTTTTATTATAGTGTGGTGAAGGAAATTTTACTATCTTTCTAATGTAAAAAATGAGTATGTTTTCCATTTTCCAAATTACTTGTAATTTGCTGTGATTGGGGCATGAGAAAATGAACAGTAAAGACATGTGGGTCTTGACAGGCGACGTGTTTGAGCGTTAGTCAAAGGACTTCATAGTGATAATGTTGGCTCTTCAGAGTTTAGTTTTGTCCCTTCCTTGGTCTTGAGGTTGTTTCTGAGTTCTCCCAGAGCTGGACAGTGTCATGGGAAGCTAGGGCCAGCACTTCCCAACATAGCTTTAGAGAGTTTTCTTTTGAAAGGTGTTTAACCAAGGTCTCCAAGCTTGCTACAAGTTGAGATTCCTGAAGTCTGCTCCAGTCTACTAAGGACTCGTTGTGTGGTTGACAGTAACAAATCTCTCCTCCTATTTGTGCCCCAGAATCTGGACATGGAGTGGGCAAGCAAGGCCCCAGCATCTGGACATGGAGTAGGCGAGCGGGACTGTACTGAGTCTCGTAGTCTCTTGGAACCTTCCAACTCTGACTACGGAGGAGCAGAGTAATGGACACAGCAGAAGGGACACGGAGGGAAGCAAAGTCATCGGAACAAGTCAGGGAATCTGGACAGGGCACCAGACACGTGGTTACTCTATTCCTCTCTGTTCCCAACTAATGAGAGAAGGTGCACGCTTGGTAGATCTTAGAGTCGTGGACAGGGGAGGGGAACAAGCAGACAAGCATTTGGGTTATTGACTTAAGATTGAAAATCTGAACTGAGACCAAGTTAGAATGCCCAAAAACCAGCAACACCTTCCATATATTTTGCTGATAAGTTTATTAATATATTTAATATTTTCCCCTTTCAGATGATGGTGACAAAAGCAGATGGACCCCACCTTTACCCACCCACCCCCCAATAAAATACAGACACAGATTTCATTTAGCATATATAAGCTGGGGGAATGTGCCAGATTCACCTCACTAGGTTACCAGAGCCAGGAGAGGTCTGATCTTGGGGGCAGTCTGAGCATGTCAGGCCCAGATGTTGAGCAGGCCAGTGCTGAAGAGAGGCTGCCACTCCGGGCCCTGCCACTTGGGTGCCAGCAGAGGGGAGAGAATCAAACTCTGGTGACTGGAGCTGCCTAGCCCCGGCACACAGTCTGGAAAGTGACAGTGGGCTCCTGGGTAGTTTCCAGTGAGATCCACAATCCCATAGAAATCTGTGCCTCTGGGTTCTCATCTACAAGACTGGGAATAAGAATCCTGCCCTGACTGTATCACAGGGCTGTGGTGAAGCTCACAATAGAAATATTTTGTCAAAAAGTGCTGTGCAAAAGCTAAAGTGCCGTTTCAATATCAGGGAGTTCAATTGATTGATTGTGATTGTCAGAGGCCCCAGGGATACATGTGGACCAGCTCACAGGTCCAGGGGCCAAGGAAGTGGCAGAACTCCTCCGCTGTGCTTTAGGTGGGCACCAATCAATGGCAGGCAACACCCGCTACCAGGCAGAGTTCCCTTGGTTCTGTGGCCCTGGGAAATCACCAAGGTCTAGCACCTGGGTCAAGGCTGGGAAAGTCACTGGGGAAGTTACACAAAGAGTCACAGGGGACAAAAGGAGGAAGAAGTTGGCATACAAAGCAGGGGCCATTACGATCATCACACACACGATAGATACCCACTGGATGCAGGGCACTGAATTGGTAGTGAGGATGAAAGATGGATGTGAGGTGGGGGAGAGGGAGGAGTCACAGCAGCAGAGGGAGGAATGCTGCACCAAAGAGGCCCAACTGCTGGCTCCCCTCTTCCTAAAGGGATAAGGCCAGTGTCTGTCTATCTGGAGGGGAAGGGGGGCAGGGAGAAAGAACCAAGGCAGATAGAATCTGTGCACTTGGAGGTTGATGCCAGAGCCAGACCTGGGCCACCACAGAGGCAGTGGGGGGGGGCGGGGTCTGGAAAAGGCAAGGGTGTCAGTCCAGTTGGAAGAGAGCTAACCAACTCATCCATGGGCACAATTTGAGGGAGCTGGTCACTGAGAAGCTATGGTTTTTAAGACTGAGCATCATGAATGCCCCGTGAAGAATAGAGAGGTGGGTCATTTTACTTGAAATGGGCTGCCATGGAAATTCAGTGAATGGGCCAGGCTGGGCACAGACAACTTCTCTGCAGGCTTGTATTTGGGAAAAGAGGAAGGGCAGCTACTCTCTAGTTGCTCGTTCTGCTGCTGCTGCTGTTTTGTCCCCTCCAACTCCACAGGGCACCAGCTGGTACCTAGGAGTAAATGCAAACAAGCCAGTAGAGCACATTGAAGAAGAAGAAGGCCAATGGGAAAACAACCCGTGAGTAGTCATCCATGCGGTAGATGTGGAAGCAGAGGTGGCCCTCCTGCCAGATACCACCCTTGCAACCGGGGATCACGCAGAAGTACTTCTTGCAACCCCTGCGCCGCTTGGAGCAGATAGGCTTGCAGCGCTGGGAGCGACCTGGGTTGGAGGACTGCCGCTCTCCATCACCTCCCTCCACGTTGACGTTGGGGCAGACAAGAGCTTCCTGAAGCTGCCGGGCACGCGCACGAGCCCGGGCACGAGCCCTTGCGCGCGCGCGCGCGCGGGCACGTGCGCGGCCTCGCGCACGCGCACGGGATCGGCGACGAGACTGAAATAGAGAAGGAAATTAAGAGAAAAAGGCAAGGCAAGGGAACGCACACCTTGGTGCTGCCTGATGCCCACTTCAGGGCTGTTTGGAGGCCCTGTCCTTGGCATGCCACTTCTTGCCCCCAGAGTTTACATCACCATATCAGGAGATTGATTCAACCTCCATCCTCCAACCCCACAACCCTGGGTGCCTTCCCGCCGCTCAGTGAACTGGCCACTCATGCGCGTAAGTCTCCACGCCCTCACTGGCATGCCTACAAATTCCACGCCCATACCCCAGCCGTTCATACATGGCGCAGAATCGGAGAAGTCCGGGTTTTCGTCTGGTTGTAGGTCACAAAGTTGAGCACGGCAAATTCCATCAGTGCGCAGAAGCAGAAGACAAAGCAGATGGCGAGATAGAAGTCCAGGGCTGTGACATAGGAGACACGTGGGAAATTCTTACGGGAAAACGTGTTCAGTGTGGTCATGGTAAGCACAGAGGTGATCCCTGCAAGGGCACAAGGGTGCAGCTGGGCTCAGCTCTTGACCTGTGCATCGGACTATTTAAAGGGTCCAAGAGAGAGCAATTTTTTACTTTAGCAAAGCTACCTCAGTGCGTGCTCACGCTTGTGCCTACCTGACCCCCTTACCTAAAGAGGTCCTAGCAGCTGCCGAGTCCTCCCTGATCCAAAAGGAAACCCAGGAGAGCATTGTGGTCACAGAAGAAGGGACATAGTTTTGAAAGGCACCATAGCCAAACTGCCTGCTGACGTTGAAGAAAAGTGTCATGACCATGAAATCACCTGGAAGACATGAAAAATGGCACTTTGTTATGACATTGACATGAGGGTCTCCCCCACAGTCCCTGGACATTATGAATCCCACTATTCGCCTCTAGGACAGTCACATTGCTTGAATCCAACATACAGAGGATCAGAAGAAGCTCAGAGAAGAAGCAGCCCAGCGACACACTGCAAGACCAGTGGCCAGTTCAGAGCGGAGCTGGGGCCCGAACCTCGTTCTCCTCTTTCTTAATTCACACTCCCACAGCCCATGCCTGTCTTTCCAAGGTGGCAGCAGAGTCAGATAAAAGTGAAACAATCAGCCCTCTAGCTGTCAGGACTACACAGCTGACGTCCAGGTGGTTGACTGAGGCCTTCCCATCTTTTGAGGTAGCATGTCTAGACCGCAGACTTGCAGCCCTGACATCTGTACTGCTGCCCCTTCAATGTATCCACTCAGACAACCTCCGATGGTAGCCTGTAGCAAAAAGTTCCTGCAGCCTTCTTTCACACATTCATTCAGGGGAAATGACTTAGCTCTGTTCTACTGATGGCCGAAAGCAGTCACTCTCCTGCCTGAAGTATCTGGTGGTTCCTGCCTCCACATGAATGACTGAATCAAGTCTAGACGGATCTGACACTAAAAGTGATAAAACTCCAATTGACATTTCACACACAGACACACACAGGCACATACCACACACACCACCCTTACCCTAAGCTAACCTCATTGGCTCTCAAGTTCCCTGAGATAGCCTGAATATTTATACCAGTATTCAAACTCTGAGTTCCATATTATGACCCAAATTGAGTGTTTCAGAAAACTAGAAGAATGAGATGAAAGTGAAAATTTCAGTCGGCCCTCTAGATGTCAGGTCTATCAAGTATACATCCACAAGGCGGACTGAGGTCTTCACCTTCATTTGGGCATCATGTCCTTGGGCTTGGCTCTCACCCTAGATACCAAAGGCTATTAGAGGACTTGATGACAACCTCCCTCTCCAGCTGGCATCTTCTAGTGTACCCTCCATGCTGCCCAGCATCTGCAAGCACTCTACATGCTCAGGACTCCATGGGTTCTCTGGGCTTTTCTCTGAGCCCAGAATATCCCCTTTCACCCTCAATGTCCTATCGGATTTGTAATAGCTCAAGTGCTAGTTTCCTTAGTGAAGCATTCTGTGGGTTTACCACAGCTCCAAAGTTCTACTTCAGCGATGCTGTCGATTTTCTTGGCCTTGAACCCCTTCAAGGCAGGGCTCACATGGGTCGTGTGCTTTGTTGTCTGCCCCATCCGAACTTAGCATGGCCTGGAGCCCAGTAGCTTTCAGTGGCTCTTGCTGTTGCTCGGTGGCAGCTTTGTAAAGGAGACCAGAACACTGACCTGTCTGTGTGTGCTCCTGTTTTGGAAAGTAGGGCACTTGCCCAGCAGGTCTGGCTGAGCTGGAGCTGGATGAAAAGCCTTTGCTACTCACCTTGGCAGCACTGGCACTCGAGGACTCGAGCAAGACTTCAGCAATTCTTCTGGGAAAAGGCAAGGAAGTGGCCTGGGTTCAGTGGGAGAGCTGTGTCCAGAGTAGTATCTTTACAGATAGGACTCCTCCTCCAGAGCTGCTGAGGGATCACTCTCATACTTGTCCCCACTCTAGGGTCTTGGCTACACCTTAAGACTTTCCTATTTAGCTACAACCAAACCCCAAAAGCCAAACCGCTGTCATCAAGTCGACTCTAACTCACAGCAACCCTACAGGACAGAGTAGAAGTGCTCCATAGGATTTCCAAGACCTATAAATCTATATGGAAGCAGACTGCCACATAGTTCTCCTGCAGAGTGGCTGGTGGATTTGAACCACTGACCTTTCAGTTAGCAGCTGAGTACTTAACCACTGTGCCACCAAGGCTCCCTTGCTACATCCACCCCCTGAAAAATTTTACAGAGTTTATATTTTCTTGTTGCAAGAAGATTTATTATCCTATTGACTTTCTCTAGTTTCATTTATTATGGCCAAAGAAGAAATCCCTCCAGTCACTAAGAGGTGGAAATTCATCTCTGAGGGCTGGGGACAGATGCTAATACACATTTTCGCCTTCATAAGGAGTGGTGGAACATGACTAAGGGAAGTAAGACATCTGGGACTGAGGTGCCAAAGCAAAAAAATTTGCTAAAGACACTTTCCACTCTTACCTGCTTTGGCTGGACCACAGCTGGCTCATGGTTTCCAATTCTGGGCACTGCACTCTCAGAGGGATACAAAAAGACTGTGTCCAGAGGACTAGGCCTAGAAGGATTACTATACCCAAAGCCTTGAAGAACAAGAGAAAGTTGTGCAGCTTAAACAGAAGATGACCCAGGCCTGGAACAATAATACTGATCCTTTAACCTTGGCCCTATGGAAGCATGACTGGACTTAATTGAAACTGGGTACTTCTAGAGAAAGAACTTGATCCAATGGGAAGAATTTCCAGAGAGTTCAATTTGAGATACTGAACTCCTGATCACTGGTAAGATTTCGACAGAGGCTTAACAGCCATCAGTAAAGGATGATCCATTCACTGGGGCAGGGTTGGACTCTCAGAGCCTCCTGAAGCAGAGAGTCTCTGGTTCAAGACCAATGGGGTGAGAGTAACAGGCTACCACTACATTCTGAACCCTTGGGAGCTGAGAGCGTAAGTCTGCTCCAGACTGTGGTCCTGATGGAAAGAACCATCCCAGGGTTCAACTGGAAGAGTTTGAGACCAGTCCCAAAGATGGCTATAACACAGGAGAAAGCATGATTCAAGATCACTTAGCCTCCAGCAGAAGAAAATGAAGTCCTCCTCAAGGACCCTCCTCAATCCCAAGGAGGGCTAGTGCTTACCTACTATCATGGCTGTGGTGACGATGCCGGCTCTGGGGCTTTGTAGTCACTAGGGCACCATTTTGAAACAATGCAAAACCATCTACTAAACGGAACCACTAGTGACTTGAAAGCCCCTGGGCCTTGTCTCCTCTGCTGCTTTTGGTGATGGGTCCCCACCTGTCTAAAGCAACTGAGGTGCAGAAAGGCAAGAGGTAGGCCCATGCTTAGCTGGCAGAAGAGCAAGGATGCTAAGTCCAAGGTAGCAAAAGTGTTTCCCCAGGTCCCCAGGGAAAAAGGAAAGCATTTGTAGAGCAGCCTTCTACCCCTGCCTAGGACTGTGCAAGCAGAGCTCCAACCAGGTGAGTATGAGCTGCCCTCACCCAGCGGCCAACTCGATAAGCAAGGCAAAAGCAGCTTCCTGCCTTGCCACATGGAAGCAGAGCAGGACACCTCGCATGGCAATAGCTGGTTGAGTGACTGGCTCCATCAACACTCTGGAAACGATGAGAGCAGACAGTGCCTCCACTGCCCTGACCTTGGCCAGTGTGTGTGAAGGTTTCCAGTGCTGCTCTGGGAGCAACCCTGGGGAGGTCCCTTGGCTCCTCATTCAGATCACCTAGGAACACAAGCAAAGATGCTCACACCTAATTGGGATCTGGAGTTTAAAAGACCTATGACCCTCCCTTTAAGTCCTTGTTAGGAATAAGGACAGAAAACCAGTTGTTACCATGTGTGTGTGGACTCCACCGTGAAGCTTTTGACAGGAATCTGGGCTTGTCAAGTATCAGAACCTCAGGGCTGCTCCTTTAAGATAACTGTTGATGTGATGCAGCAGCCACTGGAGCTCTGTGACCCAGAAACGTCCTTCAGACTATCCCAGCCTTCACCTGGCTGACATTAGAACTCTGACTTCCCCTTCCCATTAGAACCGACTCTACTTCCTACTCAACCAGCTTGGATTGGTTCTGGGTATGAAGAATTCACAGGAGCTCCATGCCACAAAGTCATCCAAGTAGGTCAGTGTTATAACAAAGACTTGAAACTGAAGAGTCTGAATGACAAAGCTAGTTGCAAATTCTGACAGCAACAAACCTTCATCTACTTACCTACCCTTTCCGGGGCTTGGCAAAGCACTTACTTCTTTGCAGATGAGACTGAGACATAGCTACAAAGTCTCAGTTTCCTCTGCAAACAGTTGTAAGTGCCTAGCATTTACAAAACAGGAGCCAGGTCCATGGAATGATTGGGTAGCATTTGTGTGAAGAGCCACCTCCAGCCATCCCTACCACCCTCCTTGGCCTCACCCGCACCCTGGCTTCCATGGCACACTTACCAGCTGGGGTTGAGAGAGTTTCAGTCTTGTTGCTTAGTCCTTTAAATGCAAACTGGAAGAGCTTCCAGGAGTTGTCCTTATTGATTTTAAGCTTGAAATCTTCCCACTTGTAGATCAACTCACTCACAGGATAGGAAACTGGAAAGCAACATAGGAAGACTGTGTGATATTGGGAAGGCCCTCTGAGGTCTCCACCAGCATGGAATCAGCCTGTGCAATGCCTTAGAGTCCTGACTCTGGCCTCACCAGCTGTGGGACTTTGCCTCTCTTATCTCCTTGTTGAAGTCCATTCAGTAAGAATATTTATTGAGCATTCCTTAATACCAGGCTTAGGGCTGGAAATACAGAGATGAGCAAGGTGTGAACCCTGCCCTCAAGCATTCACATTCTAGTGAGTAGAACAGTGAATAGACAGCTAAGAGCATGGAACCATTGGAGTTGCTTTGAAAAGCTGCTGTCCGTGGACAGTGGGGACACAAAGGAGGAAAGATTGGAAGAGACTTCTTGGAGTAGGTGACATCTCGATTAAGTCTTGCAACTTGAATAAATATTTTCCATATAGATGAGGCTGAAGGGGCCAAGGGGGTATTCCTTGTACAGAAAGGTAAAAATATCTGGTGTATTCTGAAAGTACCAAAAGTTCACAGGGGATGAGGTGTGCAGGAGTGGTAGCAGAGGCCAGTTCATGAAGGGCTTTGAGGGTCATTCTAAGGAATTTAGAATTGTTCCATAAGAGTTAAGGAAGGATTTGAAACTAAGAAGTGATCTTAGAGGTCACTTCATCTAAGTCACTTTGGTCATTATGTGAGGACAGTCTGGTGGTAGAGATACCAGTCATGGGAGGCCAGTGCAGTAATCCAGGAAAAAGAAAATGAATGAAGGCAGGAGTCAAAGCTGTGACAGACAGAATGCAGAGACATAGACAGGCTCAACAGAGATTAAGGAGGGAACCTCAACAGGATGTGTTGCTTGATTAGATGTGAGAGGTGAGGGAAAAGGAGGTTCTAAAGTCCTTGGCTTAGACAAGCGGTAGATTACAATGCCCCTCAGTGAGACAAATGGAACACAGAAGTAACATATGTGATTTGCAGACAGAGGTTTGGAGGAGACAATGAGTTTAGTCTTGGACATGCTCAGTTCAAAGTGAAGATGTTACAGAAGTCCAAGTGGAAGATGACAAAGGCCTAAACCAAGGTAATGACAGTGGGAATGAAGAAGAGTAACCATAGTTGAGATACACTTCAGAGGCAGGTGCCTGGCTTGCTGTGGAGAGGGAGGGAGAAGGAGGAACACAACCCGATGCCCAGGTTGAGCAACATAGTATCATGAGCAGGAAATGAGATGGGGGTCAAAGGGGAGGCCGATGGCAACCTCAGCACCATCTTAGGAGGAAAGCAGAGGCAGAAAAATGTAAGTGCAAGGATGAGAAAAAGAGGGCCCCAGCATGATTCTGGGACCCCAGAAACCTAAGGTACTCACAGCTAGAGAAAGACAGAGGACAAGAGTGAGAGTCCATTGGAAATCTGTGCATATGCAGTGTGCATTCGGCATCAATGGCCATCCTGGAAGGGAGAGAGGAGCTCATTAGGCTGGCCCTGAGCACTTAGGTGTCCATCCAACTTGGGTCTGAGGACGACCACCAATGAGTGGCAACAGTGGGATTTGAGACAAAGAACTCAAAGAAGAGGCAAAAAGAAAGGAAAGACAGCATGGAAGTATCTGGCTACTCTGGTCTCCACCATCACAGAAGTGTGTGGATCAACTTATATGGGTTTTTGTTTCTTGCCCAGCCCAGGTTTCAGAACCTACCAACACTCTCCCACTTTCTCCTACCACTGCCCTCCACCCCCAACTACCAAGACACTACCTTCTTGGGCAGTCGTTCAAGTGTTCAGCCTGGTCTTAAGTACCTTTCCAACCGCTGTGCTGCTGCTCTGCCTGGACAATTCCACCACCATGGACGTGTCTACATCCAGTGCCCATGTGAGATGGGGTTGGCTAAGCAATGCAGTCAAAGTGGTACACTCTACTTGGAAAATCATAGGACTAGGAGCCAAGTTAACTGGGTACCAGCGCCAACTCCGCCAAGTACTTGATGTGTAGCCTTTAGTATCTTTCTATGTTAAAGCCTCAGTGTCTGTATCTGTATATGAAGGGGTTGGCCTACTCATCTAGAAAAGCTAGAAGCGCCCTTAGAAGTATCATTCCAGATGAGACCTCTTACCATGGGATCCTTCGCTAAGATTCCCAGAGGGGAGGGAGGGCCCCAGGAAGTGTGACCCCAGAGGCTTCACATACCTAATTGTGTACAACACCTTGCCATCTCGGTGGATGCGAATCATCTGGTTCGGCATGGTGATCGTGTGCTCTCGAGTCCTCTTAGAATTCCTAAAAAAGGTGTCTGGGATCCATAACTGGCTCAGCACGTTGCCATTCAGAACAAGGGTCTCGAAGGTGTCATTGTAGCGGAGGCGTTCGTCATACCAGGTCTGGCAGAAGATGATGTCAATGGTGTATTCCTGTTGCAAAGCAAAGCAAAGTGCATATTTGGGGCTGTGGAGACAAAGAACATCCACATGGAGACATACCGTTTGCCACTCCTTGACCTGGAGTCTTAAAGGCAGTGTGGTGGAATGTAAGGAACACTGGCCCAGTTCTTTTTTCCTGGAAAACTGTTACTTAAATTGGTGTGCATCTTAAGTATTAAATCAATAGCAAATTGGAGTTAAGGAAATGCACTTGAAGATTTCAATTGCGTCCCCCCGAGTCTTTTCCAGGGTGGACAGTCACGGCTAAAAAGTTTCAGCCTCATCGACCCAACCATTTGTTTTCCCACTAGAACTGCAAGGACTTCAGAGTCAACTGACAGTCTCCGCATAGGTGGCTTTTTTTGCCAAAACGTGATGTAATTCTAAAGCTACCAAGTGTCCAAAGACATCTCTTAGAAGTTGGCCCATGGCACAACTACCCACTTTGTACTATGTTTATTCTACATGATCGACACATATCTTGGAATAATTCCACCAGTTAGAGAGAAAGTGTTGCCTGATAGAATCACAAGACATGACTGTGATCTGCGCAGATCTTACCACCATATTGCAAAGTGATAAACAGAACCAGATAAGACTGACACCTAGAGTGCCCTTACGGTCACATCACAGTCAAGACTACTGGATGAATGTAGTCAAGTCCAGGAAGGATGATTGCCAAGTATCTTGAAGATCAACACTTCAGTACAACAATGGGGTAGGTGAGATTTGGGAATTTCTAAAGGTCCTGTTAGCTCTGACCTACATGCTCAGAGTCCTTATAAGCACCATGCTTAACGGTACACAACTTGTGTCACTGCAACCAGCCAGCACCCAGTTTTTTCTTATAGGTGAGAATAAGAGAATCAGAGGGAGTAAGAGAATGACACAGTCATTCTGTAGACTATGTCCACATCCAGAAACATGAGCCAAGAATCATGTCAAGGAAGAAAGACAAAATAGAGTCAGTGGACACTGACTAACACTACAGAAACTGGATGTGCCCTAAAAATGACTCCAAGCAAGTGTACAAGGAAGGAGACATGTTAGATTCTGGTGGTAATTGTTTGCACTTTTTTTTCCTATGGAGTTGCTTCCACTTATAATTAAAATTTTAAACAAATGTTCATGTAACGTTGGGTGAAACAGGTATCATTACCTGCCATCCTCTTCCCTCTGCTCAGTGGGGGACTAGAAACAACTAATAAATGCCCCCCAAACTACTCAGCGATACCTAGAGAAAGGGTGTGAGTGAAGGAAACCGCGTGTCTGGCACTGAGACCCTTCCTCCACCAGTGGACAAAGCCCCTGCCGGCCTCTGATTTGTCTGTCAAGCCTACAGATCCATTGGACTCTGCTTCAGCTTGCGAAGAGGAAAGCAGCATGAGATTGGCTGTGGCCCTTTTCCGCTTTCTGGCATTCCCCAAAGAAAAGGAACATTCCCAAATGGATAGCAGTCTGGGAAGATACATTTCATCTGGAAGCAGACAGGAGATGGTGGCTTAATTGCATGGACTGGACTCATCACCTCATCACTCCCAAGTAGGGCTGTGCGCTACCCGGGCCAGGTCAACACCCTCTCAACACCCCCATTTCCATAGCAAATAAGAGATCCCAGCTCAACATGATTTTTAAAACTTACAAACACACATCTTTGATTCTCTACAGTGACATTTCCCCTTTCAGCTTTCATTCGGGGAGCACTGATGTTAGTTAGCCTCAATCCTTCATTCTCCAGAATTGTATTTAAAAAAGAAGTGCTGTGAGTCGCAAGACCAGTGTCTATTTAGTCTCATGTTTTTTAAACGAGGAGCATCTTTTTCCTTTGTTTTGTCCTCCCTTTCAAGCAAGAGCCCCTACCTCTAAATGTGTGTGTGCATATGCACAGAGAGATCATGATGATTCAGTCTTGGATAGTTCTTATCCCGTAAACTGTCTGTTAAACATTCAGAGGGATGCTTAGCAGGAAGAAGCACGAGAAGTGAGAAGTTTGCACCACTGCTATTGCAAGCAGAACAACCAGAGTGCAGGACAGCTACGAGCCGCTTGGACAGCAAGGAGCAGAAGTAGGCCAGGAAGCCCCATCTCCTTTATTTTAGAGATAGAACAATTGAGGCTCCGAGAGGAAGGGGCCTGTGCAAAGTGACATGAGTAGGTAATAGCAGTTCTATGGCCTGACCCTGGGACAGCCTTCCCTGTGCTCCGTCTGCAGAGCTTGCTTCACTTGCACCTGTGAAGTTCCTGTGGGTACCAACGTCCAACTTTCCTAGGCAGAATCCCTTGGTTTTCCCCCTGCATCATCCTGCACCAAACAACATACGCCAGAGATGCAGGCCAACCAGAAACCCACCACCAATCCCTGCTCGCCTCTGCTCCCCGGGCTTCCTTGTACTTACAGACTAATTTGTAGCAAACAATTATACATCCATTTTATTTCACATCCATGTAACTGTTCACTATAGATGAGTCAGTAAGCACAAGGAAGCCCATGCTTACCTTGCTTACTGGTAAGCCGACATTACCCCAGGCCCCAAAGTAGCGAGAGCAACTGCCCAAAGGGGCTCTGGTGGTGTAGTGGTTAAGGCATTTGGTTGCTAACCAAAAGGTCAGTGGTTCAAACCCACCAGCCACTCCATGGACAAAAGATGAGGCAGTCTGCTTCATAAAGACTGCCTCCTTGGAAACCCAGAGGGGATCGCTATGAGTCAGAATTGACTCAATGGCAGTGGGGTGTTTTTTTTGTTTTTGTTTTTTTTGTTTTGTTTTACCTGAGCCAGAAAGGAGGAGATTGAGGGTGTGCCCTGGAGCCAGATGAGGGAAAAGCAGACAGGAAAAGGCTGGCAGAGGCTGGCTGTCATGTGTCTGAGAATCCCCACTCCAAACATCTGCCAGTTACCTGCCTTCACAAGTGACCTGCAAAGAGGTTCCACAACCCGATGTGGCTGGCAGTTCCAAGTTGGCGGGCCAGTGGCCCACTTGGCAGCCAACGGGGAAGTTGCACCCCCAACGCCCAAGCTGCGCACGGGCTCTGCTATAAAAGGCTCCCAATGAGCACTTCGTTTCTATTTAACAAGCTACCAATCATGAGTTAATTACACATCAGCAGATAACTAGGGGTTCACTTTGTGTCCTACTTGACAAGGGGCTTCGGATGTGCAGCTCTTCTAGCTTAGCTGAAACTCCAGAAACCCAGTGGTCAGGAATTGGCCTAACGAGAGCAGCCTGCCCTAATGATTGCAGCAAGCAGCAGCTTTAACGCTGTTGCTGCTGCGATGGGCAGCCATTTGCAGCCTGGGTGTTCCAAAAGTTGAGCCAGGAGATTAGTAGAAACATTTGATGAGAGTCCAAGAGCTGTGGGCTCAGGTTGCCCTCGCTGAAGGCAAGTTCTCAAAGGAACAGTCACCTGAACTCCAGACAATATCCAGTTGGCTGAAGGGTGCTGAAACTCCCCTCAACAGCCACACCAACTGTGCCACTTAATGCTGGACACTCCCAACCCCACTGAGGCTCAGCTAACTGCCCCACCCACCACACAGAATCTGAGGAGGTAGCCCCGTGCATTGGCCAGTGCTGTGACTATGTCACAGCACGCGTGCCCCCTCCAATTGTGCCCTGCAGTGTCCCCGGGGAAAAGTAGGCTGTGCGAGATTGGGCACTTCCATCAGCCTTAGACAATGATTGGGGGCTGTGTAGGAGCCCAGAGTTCCCAGCCAGAGTCCAGACCACACGAGTGTTTGGAAGGTTCAAAACACTTGGCCCAGACTACAGCACCACCTCACTGGCCAAGACAAATCTGGTTGGTGGCTCCTATTTGGACCCGAGCTGTGTTCCACACCAGGCATGGGGACAGCTGGGCTATTAGACTGCATCTTTGAGGCTTGTCATGTGCCAGCACTTCTTGGTGCCTCAGGGGAGGGCAGTGCAGCTGCCAGCACTTCGGGGTGCTGTGCAAGCAGACAGAGGGCATTCGGCTACTTTGAGTAGGACTGGTGCTCTGTTGCCATGAGGGCTCTTAGAAAATGAGTGGATGGGCAATTGGTTCCTCACAATTAGGAGACTGAAGTCACAACGTTCCCATACTCTTCACTTTTAGAAGATGCTCTATCTCATCCAGAACACGGAGAAACGCAGCTTAGGGCCACGTGCTCCATCTGCTCATCAATGTGTGTTCTCCACACCCAACCTAAGGGACATCCAGCCACCACTGCATGGGGAGAGGTATACAGTTTGGGGAGGAAAGAGCAAGTCAGCTTGCTGCAATTGAGACTGGCTACCTCCAACATACATTGTCAGTGCCTTAAGATTCACCCAAAGGAGCAGAGGCATCGGTGCACAGAGTTCAGAAGCCATCAGGTTACTGCACACCGAGCATGACATTTCGCTTCAAGGACTCCGGTGGAAGAGTGGCAGCGGGGTCTCCTGCCCATGAGATACCTGCTTCAGCCCCACACCAATCACCTGGAAGTTCCATTTCCTCTTAAGATTAAACAGTGGCCACAAGCCCACCAACCTCTGGCTCAGAACCTAGTTTACATACAATTTGAACACAACTGATTACTACGTTTATACCCACTTAGAAGCAGTAAATTGCCAGGCAAAAGGAGATCACAAGTCTACTAGAAGCAAGCCCACTGAAAGCAATGAAGAAGTATCTACAGGCCTCTACTTGCTTGAAAAGGAGAATATCATGACTATGTCTCAAGATGCACCAGTGACCGTCACTTCCTGGTGATCATGCCCACCATGGAAGGCTCTCACTCTTCCATGCAGCCTATGCAAACACCTTGACATACCATGAAGTTACTTACCTTTGGGTGTCTATTGGCCAGGGCCACCTCAGCGCCTAGGCTCTGAACTCATTCAAATGCATAGTGCTTTCTGGGTGCCACTGGATGTGATAAAACTGGGTCTAACATGGGTAGGCCATGCCCACGATGGAGTTGATTACTACCGCCTTCCTCCTTGTCAGTCTCCACAGATGCAAGTGGCCTCAGCAGAGCATCTTTTGTAATTCATTTGCTAAGCTAACGTGTACTGAGTCCTTGACTTCAAGAGTTGAGAGAGCGAGGCAGACATATAACAGGTAATTACAGTAAAGTGAGGGAGGGCAGATGAGGCAAACAGCTGTGGTAGAAACCAGAAAGGTCTGAACACTGAAGAGAGGTATGTAGCATAAATAAAGAGGAACAATTAATAGTGGAGGTCAGGGAACACACCATGAGACAGGTGTCACTTGGGCTTGAACCTGAAAGACAAGGATTTGACAAGTAGAAAAGAAGAGCTATGGCATCTTAAGCAGGGAATAGCTTGAGGGTATCAAGTGGTCTGGGAGCATCCATACTGTAGTGTGACTAAAGCACATGGTCTCTAGAGGGGTGGAAAGGGATAAAACCAGAATGTCTGGCTGTCCCCAGCAATGGAAGGCCCTGACTAATAAAGAGTGGGCTTGAACTGCCTGCTGTAAATAGGATCAGCACTGCAGGAAGTATATCACTTGGGAGTTCAGTGGGTTCAAATCCACCAGCAAGTCCCTGGAAGGAAAGTTGGGCAATCTACTTCTGCAGTGATACCACCTCGGAAACCCAAGGAGGAGTCGCTATGAGTCGGGCCCAACTCAGTGGCAGTGAGTTCGGTTTTTGTTTTACAGGGTGAGGAGAGACTTTTGCATACTCCAGGTGGAACATGATGTAGACTAACCACACAGTACTGACACCAGGACCATAGTGGTGGAAAGGAGAGGAGAAACCAGGAAAAAATTAGAGCAACAGTTTCAGAGCAAGAATTGATGAGTACAGACTTGAGTATATGAACATCATTATCAGAAGAAAAGAGCCATTTCAGTGTGGTGTTGCAAATTGTTTTATTCTTTTTATGTCTGGAGGTCCTCTTCAGGTAGCAAGTGACTTACCTTTCCAGTCTCATTCTCAAAACAGTGCTGGTTAAAATCTCTCCAAAAAATTTTAGAGTGGTTACAGGCACACAGAACAGAAAACACAAGTATGTGGAAAGTCAGCAGTTAGATTAGGAGATGCTGTAATCAAAGCTCAGTACTCACCATGTTCAGGATAGAGAGAGGACCAAGGCTGTTCACTGAGAACTGGACAGTAACCACAGTTGGCTTTTCTGTAAGGGAACAGAAGTGACAGAGTAAGTATCAAACAGGGGTGTGGGGCACGGGAGGGAGTGGGCAGAGGGGGAGGAAAGGAGAGTCATGGCAAGATCCCATTCATGGACTGCTAAGAGTTAGATGGAGCTCCAAGGTCAACCACCTAGTCCATCATTGCATTTTGTAGTTGGAAAACTGAGGATGAGAGAAGAGTCTTGGCAAGGTCAATGGCATTTTGTCAAAGGCAATTGTTAATATCTGTTACCTGGAAGGTTGGCAGCCTGTTCTTGCCCCCGTGCATGGTAGCCTCACCTGCACCTCAGGGCCATTCTCCACACCGGTGCCTTTGGCCCACCCACCCCGACCTCCAGGAAGGGAGACCTATATTCTGCTACTCACCACTGATGCCAGGGCGCAGTCTGTGGTCATAGTTGCTCAGTATGGTGTTCAGGATCTGAGAGGCTTCTGGGCCTCTGGCAACTCTGCGGGCAGTAGCAGGAGGCTTTGTCCCCTCATTGTGAGGCTTCCTTTTGGGGTCCTGTGTCTTGGGGCCATAGAAGCCATCACCACTGCCAGAGGCTCCCTTCTCTGACTTAGCCCAGGGTCCATCGACCCTAGAACATACCAACAAAGAATGAAGGTCTGTTGCCACACTGTGGGGAGCACAGAGACAAGGCAGGATCCCTTCACCAGGAGACTGCCATTCAGCAAGGGAATGGCTGTCAGGAATCCAGAATGATCTCCCAGGCACACACCACAGCTGAAAAATAAAACCTAACAAAAAAAAAAATAATAATAAGCCTTCTGCCAGCGTCTAAAACTCACCTCTGGTGTGGGAAGTCAGGGTCATGCTAGTTCTGTGGGAGGCAGTGAAGAAAAGAGGGTCCCAGGGGGCTTCTGAGGGCCTTTCTGCAGGTGTGTTCATTCTGTGACAATTCATCACTTGTGCGCTTATGGTGTGAGTACTTTTCTGTATATATGTTTACTTCGATAAATGTATTTTATAAAGTAAAAATGTCCCACCTGCCATGATCTTCATGGATGGATCTTCATTTTAAAAAGCAAACTGTAAAAAATAAACCAAAGCACAACAAGAACATTTGTGACCCAAGAGGGATGAAACATAGCTGGACAGTTGATGTGTAGAGAAAATATTTGTAAATTTTAGGTGTAGTGATGATATTCTAGTATGTTTTTAAAGAGTTCTTCCTTATATTTTAGACCAGAGGTCTATGTTAAAATAATGACATGCAAAACAACAGGCATCTGAGATCTTTATTAAAATAAGTTAAATGAGTAGGAGCAGTGACGCAGTAAGAGTGTCATTGAGTGAGTAACTGACAAGGCTGCTGATGGGTACATGGGGCTTTACTCTCCTGTTCCCTTGAGTTTTATGTATCTTCACAACCATTCCATGGTCAAAAGAAAAAAAAAGTGTTTTTTTTTTTTTTTTTTAAGGCAGCAGCCAAAATCAATCTTTGGTGGGAAAGCAAGGAGTGGTTTCCATAGGGGAGGAGAGTGGACTGGGAGTTGGAGGGAGGCTTCCGGGGCAATAGTGAGGCTCTATTTTATGTTGTGAAAATCCACTGAGCTGTTGACACATGCTTCCAGCACTTTTACATTTGTGTGTTATACTCCGAACGTAATTTTATTAAAAACCAACCAACCAACCAACCCATCAGAGATCACTGGCTCCTTCTGCCATGGAGCAAGCAGGGCAGGGCACATGGGCTTGGCCCCTGTGTTCAGACCATTTTTCTGTAGTGTTTCAACTTCTGAGAATTGCTTAACTGGCATGCAGATGTGCTAAGTGTGTGCCACTTCGCAGGTCTAAAGTGGCTCATTCCAACTGTAGGCAAGGCAAGAATTGGGCTTGGAGAAAGCACTTTCCACTTTCCGATACCACATCCAGAAGACGTCTTCTTTTCCTGAACCTTCTTAGTCGTCCCCCCCCCCGCTACCCTCGAGATGGAGCTCAATCTTTGCACGCGTGCACGCACACACACACACACACACACAGAGGGTGCTCCAGGGAAAGGGACCAGGAGAAGGGACACTGGGTTTTGTTTTTGTTTTCTCCAAAATCCACCCTCTTTTCACTTTCCAGATGTAGAAACTGAGGCTCAGAAGAGGAAAGGGCTTGTGCCCAAAATCACTCAACTAATTCCAGCCTGAGCCTGGACCAGAGTGAGGTTTCCAGTTTGAAGCGGCCTCGATGTCATCACAGGGTGCCATGGTGTTGACAATGTCTGGCCCTGAGGCCCTTTCCCCTGGCTGGAAGCACAGCTCCCCTCTCAGCAGCCCCTCTCCCCCGCTTCTTCCTCCAGGCCTCCTCCTTCCCTCTTTCGCCCCTGTCAGTCACCAGGTCAGCTTTCCCAACTCATCCCAGTCACATCTGGAGGGATGTGAGTGACTGGAAATTCCTGGTGCGCATTCAGAAAGGTTTAACACGCTA